CCCACGTGCAACCCCGCCCCACGTGGCCGCCCCACCCGAGGCCGTCCTGCCGGAACGTGGGCACAGCTTGCCTGCGTCTTGCCTTTAAAAAACGAAAAGGAAGGATTCTGGGACTTTATGCGCCATTTCCGACTTGTATGGATTGAGGTTTCACTATAACAGGACGACGGTACCTGGGGTCTGGGTGTGGGCTTGCTCGTGCCCCGTCCCGCCATGTTCCCTCCCCCGTGGGGTTAGTGACTGTGCCTGAGGCCCACCGAGTCCCTCCCCTCCCGTCTCCGTCCGGATGCGCCGACAGAGAAGCCAGCCATCAGCCAGGCCTGAGCCCCCGCGGGCAGGTGTGTGTGCAGGTGTGTGGGTGTGTGGGTGCCTGTGTGCCTGTGTGTGCAAGTGTGTATGCAGATATGTGTGCAGGTGTGTGTGGGTGAGCAAGTGTGTGGGAGCCCGTCGGGGGCTGGGGTGGCGCCCTATGAGGACCGATGTCCGTTTGGAAAGATGGAAAGTTCTGGGGATGGGGGTGCTGACGTGAGTGTGCTGAATACCGCTGAACTGTAAACAGGTTCAGAGGGTGCCTTTTAAAAAATGTGCATTTTGTAATCGTTATAATAATAGTAATGGGACATTGCGAGCTGGGTCCTGGGCCCGGGGCGGCTGGGAAACAGCTGAGGGCCCCCTCAGGGAGCTGGGAGGATTCCTCTGTCGCCCCCTCTTTGGAGTCAGGCCGGGTCCCAGGGGCTGGAGATACAACGGTTACCGGCAGGGGGCGCCACAGGCCCGCACACCTGCCTGTCGCCTCGCCTCTGCCTCCTGTGGTCTGGGCGTCACAGAAGAGGAGCTGCTGGTGGGTTAGGAATCCTGGGCTCAGAGCCTCCCTTAAAGAGGAGGCCACTGTGGTGTCAAGAAAATGTTCTTTTTTAAAAAATGATGATTTTTTTATTTCATTTTTTAAAAATATATTTTATTGATTTTTTACAGAGAGGAAGGGAGAGAGATAGTTAGAAACATCGATGAGAGAGAAAAATTGATCAGCTGCCTCCTGCACACCTCCTACTGGGGAAGTGCCCGCAACCCAGGTACATGCCCTTGACCGGAATCGAACCCGGGACCTTTCAGTCCACAGGCTGACGTTCTATCCACTGAGCCAAACCAGTTTCGGCAAGAAAATGTTCTTTTAAAACCATTTCTAAGTAAGAAAAATTGCCAAACAGACACCATGGTAGGAGTCCAGAGGGGAGGCCCTCGGTCACTGACACGGGGATCTGACCCAGAGAACTGTGAGCCTGGGGGGGGCGCTGCACCTCAGGACCGAGCTGTTCAATCCCCCGTGTGGGGCGTGCAGGCGGCAGCCGATCCATGACTCTCTCTCATCATTGATGTCTCTCTCCCTCTCCCTTCCTCTGAGATGCGTAACCTCCAGGCTGACAGGTATTTTTCTGTGGACGTTCCCAACGTGTCTTCGCGGCTTCACACCACGTGGGACTCCCCTCACCGTGCCCTCCTCCTGTCCAGGAGTCTCCGTCCTCCAGCCACTTTGAAGGGGTCTCCTTGATCCGCAGTTGGGGCAGTAGGTGTGCCCTGACTTGATGGGGTCCTGGCCACTGGGGTTCCTGAAGCCGCTTTAATCTGAGATTCAACTTCTGGAGCGATGGTCTCACGGCGGCTGGCCTGAGGGTCATGGAGAACATGTCTTAGGTGACTGGGCGGTGAGACTGTATGTGTTACAATGTTGCTTAGAGTGCAGCTGAGAGGCCGGTGTGGGTGGGCCTCACCGAGAGCAGGGCCCTGGGAGGTGGCAGCCTCAGTCCCAGAGTCCACCTCCTCTCAGCCTTCACCTGCCCCCCTGGCCAGGGGGTGGGGGGCTCCTCTGACCCCTGCTCCCAGCCTTCAGTCCGCAGGGCAGCGTTCACCTGGCTCTCCATCCACAGGGCCAGGAAACCCCAGAAGCTGGTCCCAGCTGTGGCTGCGGGAGGACAGGGCAGAGGCCCCCCTGGGCTCTCAGGGCGTGTCTGCTGGAGGGACTGTGCCCAGGTGCTCGCTGACACTCCACACACGTTAGTGGCCCCATCAGGTGGACTCAGCTCTGTGGGCCTCGCGCCCATCCATGGGGTTGCCGCCACTGATACCGCGAACATGGAGCGTTTGGGGGTGGTGAGTGGGGAGGTGAACAAGGAATTGTAGTACCTTCCGGGAGCCAGGAGCCGGAGCCACGGTGACAACTCGGATCCGTGTGGGACGCACTCGAGGTTTTAATTTCTGCACCTGGTGCAACAGCAGATTCACAGGATGAACACGTGTTGCAAGTCACAGCTTTTCTAGGCTCCCAGCTTTCCGTGAAAGGAGACAGTTTTGGGGGTTTTGCATTTGGTGGCAGCGCCGGCCGGCCCTCGTGGACGCTGCTGTATTGCCAAAAGGGTGTCTCGGTTTCAGGCTTGCGGCGCGGCCCTGGGATTCCCTAACGGGCATGACCTGCTGGGCACTTGCTTGAACATGTGTCCAAGTTCACTCCAGCGCAAAATACGCGGAGGGGACGTAGGCGAAAAGACCTGAATTTGAACCAAAGTTCTGCCAGAGGAAGTAAGATGGCGAGGCCTTGGCCTGGGCAGGGGGGTCCCGTCCCACTCAACCCTGAAAATAAAGCAAAAGGCTTTTGCACACGCCAGAGGACGAGTGCTTCTCCGATTGCTGGGTGTTTTTATGCTCCTGTTTTGTAAGTATTTGCATTTTATTGGTCGTGAGTAGCCCTGCGATGAAAAGCCGCGTGTGTCCCAGGAGGTGGCTCAGAGGCTTTGATGCAGCTCGCACGGTTTTGATACCAAGTTGCTCTCATAAATATTGTATCCGCTCCTCCCTTGGAGAGTGTGTCGGGGCCTCCTCACCCGCTGCCTGCGTGAGCAGCCACACTTGTGATCGCGGCCAACTCCATAGGTGAAAAAAAATCATCTCATTATCATCATTGGTAACGTTTTGGGTGCTAGTGGAGGCCAAACAGATGGTGGCAATTATCTTTTTTAAATAAATTGATTTCAGAGAGGAAGGGAGAGGGAGGGAGAAACGTCAATGGTGACACAGATGGGCTGCCTCCTGCACGCCCCCTGCTGGGGGTCCAGCCGGCAACCCTGGCATGTGCCCTGACCAGGAATCGAACGCGGGACCCCTTGGTTCATAGGTTAAAGCTCAACCTGAGCCACGCTGGCCGGGTGGTGGCGGTGACCTCTGGAAGCCAACCATTTGAAATGTCCCCGTTGCAGAGCATTTCATGTTATAATTTGTAACCGGAGGTTTATAATGAAGTTGGAGGAGATGTTGAAGGCGGTCCCCAACTTCGGGCAGAGGA